CCTGAAGAATTCCAAGCTCAAAACCCTTTACCCCTGAAGAATTCCAGGGATCCTCGACAGGGGGGGGGGGGTACGGATATTAAATGGAATAGCCCAATGCAAGAGACCAGTGCAAACGCACTATGTTAATTAGATATAGTTCCAATTTAAATACTTACTTTTAAACTTGTTATATTCTTGTTCAACTCTCTGTTTTAAAGCAGGTTTACTTTCCATTGGAGCGGTATGTTGTGTAAAGAATTGTTGTATAGAGTATGGAAAATGTTCTAGAGTGTGCTTTGACCAGCTGTATTAAAATAAAAATAAATTAGGACAGGTTTAGTGTAATGCATGCGTATACAAATCAATGAAAATCAGCACTGCAACGTAATTAGTCTATGAATAACTAACGAGCTTATAGTTATAGCATCTATTCTAATTAAAAAGTCAATTAGTTACAAACACATAGTCTTTTACAACAACCAGTGCATGTAACTAGTTTGCAAAGGAATTGACACATTTTATATTATGTTGTTTACTCGCTTGCGGTTCGTGTTCAATACAACACGGTCGCTCAAAAATACTATTGTACAGTATTACCATGAGTATCAGCACGTTCGTCAAACTTAGCAAAATTTCTCCAACTCGTGCGGGCTCGTATTGTCAGCGGGCATCTTACAGAAAGTGGACAGTTCTGTGCAAAATGCAAAAGTTTCAATTTTTCACAAGTCCGCTGAAAATGCGAGCCTGCGGTACTGCGAGAAAAACTGCTGTATACGACCAGCGTGCAGGCTATGTTTTCCTTCCTTAAATGCGGGTGGTGGTCTGGGCGCATGTAAAAAAAGTCCAAATCCGGCTTTCCACATGATTGGTCGATCAGACCAAAAAATGTTAATCTGTCTTTTGATTGGTTAGTGCTAATTAGATTATACTATAATTCGCATTTTGAATTATAATTAGATTGTTGCGACCGCATTAAGATTTGTGTCAGGCTCTGTTTGTAAAAGAGAGGCTAATACAGTATATTAGAACACAACACAACACAACAAAACACAACACAACACAACACAACTATACGCTGAATAAAGTACAATACAATAATATATAATAGAATAAAATGGAATAGAAAATTGAATTAAACAGAAAATTATATAACGCATGATAGTGGATAAAGTTTAGGTTCAGCGAGCAAATATATTTAGAAACTAATACATACTTCATTGGCGTCTTTTCCACAATGGTTTTAAATATAGACTCGTACCACTGAGACGAGTGCTGCTCTGTTCCTGAAAATTTGATGAAATAACGTAATAGAAACACTTCACGTTTCAAGCGAAGGTGGCCCTTGCCCCTTCGTCAGAAGGTTAGTAGTACACAATAGATGAAAGACACTGTGCAAACGATTTATCATATTTTGAAAATCAAAGTCTAAGTTTCGTTGATATTTAAGTCCAGCCAATCAGAATCGATTAAGTTCAGTCGTGACCAATCAGAATCAACTACCCAGATCTGGGTAGCGCTGGTGGGGGTCGACACGAATTTTCACAGACTGTACTACAGCATAATAGATTTAAAAAAGGTCGTCAGGATCAGATTAGGGTCAGCGTAAGGTTAGATTAGGGTCAGATTAAGATTAGATTAAGGTTAGAGGTTATATATAGTCGGGCTTAGATTAGGGTTCAAATTAAGGCACTACCGGATGGCTCAGATGATCATCCGTGTTGAGATCGCCCGTATTTCTCAATTTAGAAATACTGGCTATGTTATACCCATTGAGATAATGTGACACGCGTGCGTTTTCAGCTCTCCTTTATCGCATATTACTGAACCTTCCCAGTACGAAAAAGCAAGCTTAAGCCCATAGATATCTTAGATACACTAGATAGCGCATCTCTTTTAGTAAAATTGAAGCCAAGAATATTCCAGCGGTTACTCCATTTGAATAAATGGCGGCCATGTTGGTCGTTCCCACTTAGTAATAAACGCTTAAAAACAACAATAACTTTCATCATTCGAATAGTTTAAAAATGTATTTGGAATAGGGTTAACTTAATGTTTAAGTTCCCTGTTTAAAAAATAGAAAACATACGAATCTTCTCATTTTATGGGAACGACCTGAGACTGCAATCATGGCTTCAATTTTTGAATTGCAGAATAATTATATGCACTATCTAGTGTACATAAGATATCTATGCTTAAGCCGCATAAGTACGGACAAAAAATATTGACGTTTTCTTCACTTGTGATGAAAAGAACAGTGTATGTCATTGACTGTTGCCATGTCAGGTTTTTCGGTTACTTTCAGCAAGAAGGTATATGATGAAAATGTAACAACACAAACCTGAAATGTGCATCGCTCTTGCAATGTTCAGTACAAATATACGGTTCAACTCTTCAGATTCTGAAGACACAAGCTAAAATAATCATCGATAATCATAGATTAGAGTTGCTAAATAGAGTTTTAGATCATTAAAATTGAAGATTCAGCAATTATAGCAGTTTCCCAACCAAATTTAAAAGTGCTAATAACACGAAATTTTCAATGATCAGTTTTTCAACTTTCTTGATGCGTTTTCGTGTTGATTGCATCCCAAGCGGTTTGTGAAAATGGCGTCGACTTCGAGTCGTTCATTTCCATTGCCATTTCCATATCATTTGCATTTGCATTTGCATTAGCATTTGCATTTGCATTTGCATTTGCATTTGCATTTGCATTTGCATTGCATTACATTGCATTGCATTACATTATTATTCAGCTCACTCTCCATTGGGGCTTTTCATGCAGTGACCGAAAACATCATGCAGTGACCATGATTACATCATGCAGTGACCATGATTACATCATGCAGTGACCATGATTACATCATGCAGTGACCATGATTACATCATCATTATCATGTAGTGACCGATTACGCTCATGTTACTTACTTGGCCTAGACTATTTATCTTTACAACAATTGAGATATTACTTTCCTAACTGTGTTTATCCTAACCCACCCTGTCAACTTTCCCTGCGGAAAGAAACCTGAGCACCCGGAGAAAACCCACGACTTTTGGCGAGGCGTTGACCAGTGAACTCTACTATGGCGTTCACTTACTGTTTCACATGAGTCAGAATCGAGAGTCGAACCCACGGTCTCACCGAAGCCACAAATTTGACTTTTGACGAGTGCGCCACCGAAGTCCAGACGCGGCCAGATCATATAAGCAGTATACGAATGTGTGGTTTTATTTATTTAGCTTCGCCTATAATTACCCAATCAAACAACACGTACACCCAACCATTTCTGTCCAACCCCAAAACGCGAAAGCTTCAGCGCAACGTAGGATGGTTCAACGTTAAACCTAGGATGGTTTAATTTTAGAATCATACATTCATTTAATATGCTTGAATTTTATGAGCCCAACATTGGGCGATATGGAAAATTGCTTAAAAACTTGGTATAGACCTAGACGGGGCTTATCGAAACGCAGAAAATACGCCGAGCCTCCCAAAAAGATGACATGCAACAACATACAGTTGGACAAAAAGATGACATGCAACAACATACAGTTGACAACAACAAAAAGGCAGGGACACCACAACAGCTTAAATGGTTCCCACCTTAGATGTCCCATCGATATCACGTCACGCGTGGCAGTTATGGCAGTGGCCTTTTTCGCGAGCACCATGCATTTTGAAACCCCAAATTAAACAATAACTTTTTCCAGAAAGTGGGTATCAAGATGATCAGAAAAAGCCAAATTTTAATCTGATAGAATAAACTCGATTTTGAAAATTTCTTGTCATAAACACCTTAATTTAGTTTATAGAAATTAAACTTTTACTATAACAGTTCTACAATAAAAATACGTTTTTCAAATTCCAGAAATATCCTTAAAAATTCCGCTAAAAGTACAACTACAGCCTCATTCGCTCCCCTATACTTGTACTTGGAGGGAGGCAACGAAAAATTATCGTATGAATTAACCTACCACATTTGCTTCATGTTTTGTGAAGTATGATTCAACAACATGGTTTTCAAGACCTTGGATTAAACGGAATGCTGTGCTCTCCAGGCTAAATAATGTGGATATTTTTCACATAAATGAGAAGTATAGTTAACAGCAAAAAAATGCATGCAATTAAGGTGATTAAAATACTGAACCATTAAGAACTGGTAGTATATTCATATAGAGTGCATGGATAAAGTTATTATAGAAGTTAGTTCAGTTGGGGGCTGTTTATATGATCCCGCTTAAGCAAGATTCAATGAAGTGTGAATCATTTTGAGCAACTGAAATACGTTTTTCAGCCCTAAAGAAAAGTTAGATAACTTTAAATATTGTTGAAACGAAATTAGGAACGCGCTAGAAGTTATGCAGTGGAAGAAGACGATTAATAGCATTCAACAACATTTGTATTTTGTCGAAAACATGGAATTTCATACAATTTGTAACAAGCAATTTTGTCAGATAATGAACCTCATTTCAACAGCTCAAAATAGTTCACACTTCATCGAATCCCGGGTAAGCGGGACCATATAAACAACCCCTTAAGGTATACTCTCACGTTGTAAAACAAAATTTGCCGCCACCTTTCTCCTCAACCCTGGGCCGTTACGTAATGCTCGTTGGTTGTTGTAGCCAATCAGAATCCTGGATTTCTAGAGGTACTTGTTTGAGTGTATACGGGTAAGAGATGGCCCTTACTGGACATTTATGTAGGGAGGACAGTCTTCAATTGATAGACCCTAGCCTATCAAAGTGAAGATGGGTCTGACACTTATCAGAATAACAATATAACTCATTATCTATATCAGTCCACGTTTGTTCATAAATACGGTCCTTCACCGTCACGTGTGTATTGTATTTTTTCCAAATCCACCAATTCTTTGTTTGCATGCAATGACATAATTTTGTGATTTCAGTTGGCGGGCAGGTATAACAAAACCGGCTATTTAATGTATTGATCGAGTTTAGAGACATTTTAAGACTCAAAAGATGAATTTAATACCGTTCAGTTTTTCCTGCTACAACCATTCTGATAGGAGAAAGTTTGATTGCCCGTTATTTGGATGAAACGTCACGTGATTGCAAACAAAGAATAGCAATTTCAAAAATTTACCCTATTGTTCGAGTGACGGATAGGTAACTTTCTCAAAACATCGCTATTGGTTACTTGGTTACAAAAATACAATACGCACGTGACGGTGAAGGACCAGATTTATGAATAAATGTTGACTAACATCTATAGATAATTAGTTATACTGTTATTTTAATGAGTTTCACAGTCATTTTCCCTTCGATAGACTATGGATAGACTTATCAACAATATAAATGAGTTAATTTAGTTTCAGATAAAATCCACAGTCTATACTTACCATAAATGGAGTTGGTAGTTTTGATCGGTGTGTGGTATTGCAGCAATAGAATGTATATGAGAAATAAGATGCACACGGTAGTTTTGAGGAATAAGCGGCAGTCTATAACTGAACATCTCTAGTAAGTTGTGTAAGATTCCCCAAGCTTTGTTTTTGAACACATGAGGAAGAACAGCGCCTAGGAAAAGAATTATGGTTGATCAAGTCCAGTAGTGCGATAAACTACGTGGTTATCGTGCCGGAAGTACAACATGCAATATATGTGGGTACCACCCGTGGATAAGGAAGCTCTTCTATATGTGAGGTCAGTGAGGTTTAATGTGGAACACTGTACTCAACACTGACACCATAAAACAAATAAATTATACTTGACAAGGCCACTGATCTGAAATAAGACTGGATAACGCATCTATAATATACAAAAGTGAAGCCGGAAGTCACCGGCCGCCACCCGATTCTGGGGCCCCACTTTTGTATAGATTTGTATTACAGACGGTAGTTTTTCGCGTTTTTTGCCTTGGCTACGTTTCCGATCGGGCCAATTTTACAATCACAACGATAGAAGCATACAAGACGAATGTTGAGCAAAAAATTTGGAGTATTATGGCTTTATAACGCCGCGAAACGGGATTTACAACTCTGAAGGAGTGGAGAGCCTCAGACTTTGTTTATCAACAAGAGCTCGTTTTGCTACTTTCATACAAAATCAACTCAAAATATACAAGAATTATTGTTACTGGACCAATATTCTCACGAAATTTGAAGAAATGAAGCAGCTACATTGTGAACGAAAGCGTACAGAGGTTAGACTTTGTTTATCAACACGAGCTCGTTAATAGCCTCGTTTGCTATTTTCATACAAAATCAACTTACTGTAAAATATACAAGAATTACTGTTTACTGGACGAATATTCTCAGGAAACTTGAAGAAATGAAGCAGCTACATTGTGAACGAAAGCGTTATGAGGTTTATAGTTTTAAAATACCTTAAGGCTACTTTTATAATTATACGAATTTAATAAGGAACAGTTTTAAATGTCAATTTTGTTAAAAGCATTCCTAGGCGACTTGTCGAGAAGTTTTATATGTTTTAAAGTAGGAAGACAAGTGACAATGAAATATTTTTAATCCAAATTATAAACAAGGACTCGATATGTTATTTTAATTCATAATTATGGAAGTGGCCTCAAGGTATTTTAAAACTAACCTCTGTACGCTTTCGTTAACAATGTAGCTGCTTCATTTCTTCAAATTTCGTGAGAATATTCGTCCAGTAACAATAATTCTTGTATATTTTGAGTTGATTTTGTATGAAAGTAGCAAGCAAACTCTTCAATTGATAAAGTCCGAGGGCTCTCCCACTCAACTAGGTTGTAAATTCCGTTTCGCGGCGTTCTAAAGCCATAATGCTCCAAAGGTACCGTCTTGTAAGCTGCCGTTGTGATTGTATGACAACCTGTCTGAAATCTATACGAGACGTCACTATATCTGAATGCGTTATCTTCATTCAAAGATCGATGAACAAAACAACAGTTGGGCAGGATGCTGATGTTTATGCTTTGTTACTTTGTTATTACCTTCCCTGTACTTAATAACAAACCGAGCGTTTCTATAGCAATCAGTGTGGCCGTCACCCTTGATCGCTACAGCCTGTACTTTCTGTCCGTATGTGACAAAATGTAATCAATAGCGAGATACGGTTCTGTCTCTTAAATCCCTGAAATATTGCTAGGGTGCGGAGGGCGAGATGTCCTAGGAATATCGCCCCCCCCCCCTATCAAATTCGCCCCTCCCATACAAATTTTAATCTAAAAACAAAACGATTCCAAGTTGAAAATAGCATTGAAATGCGATTTATTTCTTACAACGAGAAGACAAAATTAGATCTTAAAAATGCTAGATGCGCGACCAGGATTCATAATAAAGTTTCTGAAACGTTCTCTCATAGTAACTTTTTATTTAAAACACGAGCTTTCGACTGCCAGTCTTTAAATTTTTATTTAAAACACGAGCTTTCGACTGCCAGTCTTTATATTTATAAGTATACTCGTTTCACTACAGTTTACGTAGGCGGAACTACTCATTGTTTCTTGCATGTCATTATAATTGTAATTGTAAACCACTGTCCTTGTAGTTACATCCGTAGAATAGTTTATATGATTTAATATCACTTTACCTGTCGAAGACTGCAGACTGGCAGTCGAAAGCTCGTGTTTTAAATAAAAATTTACGATCAGAGAACGTTTCAGAAACTTTAAAATTAGATCTGTTCTAAAAGTACACACGAGTGACCACACCTAAGTGAGCAAAGTACCCTTCAACTAATATTCAATCGAGTGAGATGCCAAGAAAATCTTGCTTTATTATCGCATACATTACCTACAACATTTCTAATGCCACCGATATCGTTCTCAGCCAACAATCGACTGTATGTTTCCAATAACACATAAGATAACGTCGTGTTAGGAATCCTCCCTTTAATGAGACTTCCAATATAGATGATTAATCTATAAAAAATATGCATGAATCATTTGCAACATAACCATGAACAACAATTGGTTAGGGGCGGACCATGCATTAGAAAAGTGAAGTGGGGGATGGGTAGTCCGTCCCTTATGCTAATTCACATATGTTCATAGTAAATCTCCAGCACTGTACTATCAACGTTAAAGGACATTGGCAATAAAAAAATTAGTTTAGTTCATTTGATTTAGAACTCTTAAAACTATATATGTTAAACTCTATTACATATTGTATATACCAAATTATTTCGACTGAAAAAAGTGAGATGTTCGCCATCTTGGATTATTGAGGATATGCATGTTACGTCAAGAGAGGGGTCAAGCTAATTTTTATCTTGAGAGTAAGCGATCAATATGGGTCCAAAACTTCGCTTCTGGTTGCTGTCTGAATTTAGAAATAATTAAAAACATTTTAAACAATTTTGGACTGTTACTCGATCATTTTAGAGTAGTTTTATATATGGTTAACCCAACTCCTGACGTCATCAAAACGATAGTTAATGAGATCAAGAATTATCGTCCAAGATGGCGGACAGGCTCATTAATTCCAGTCTAATATTTCGAGAACAAAGCAAGATATGACAAATCGGTAATAGAGTTTAATCTATAATTTTAAGAGTTCTTTTGAATGAGACAATTTTTTTATTGCCAATGTCCTTTAAGTTTACTAAAGTCTAAACAAGGCAACTTTATGTTCATAATACAGAACTTATTCTGTGTTATGAATTAATTCAGAAAATAATACTGGATTTGAAGCCAGCAATGAACTCACACTATTCAACACTTCTATATAGTCGGATTATAATTAGGAATAAAGGAGTTATTTGCTTCAGCGAATAATCAATTTATTGCTTCCGTGGGAATTTTGTTGGAATATTTAGGGATTCGGGGTAGCACGCGGAATGGGGTTGTGGAGGGAACCTGGCAGGGAAACTCGTTCAACCAGTTTTATTTCCCGTGGAATTTTGCAACACATCAGTGAATTTCCATGTCACGCTTCACGTGCATCTTGGGCCTACTATATAAAAACGTTCAGGGTTAACAGCTCAAGGTCATTGACCTTTGGCTTCACACAGCAAGTTTTCAAGTCCTCCTCACAAGTTTTCCTTTCCCTCCCGCCCTCCCTTGCCTCATTTTGCGTCCTACGATACACGTTACTGGCGGTTTTTGTATATGGGGCGTTTTTTAACACCACACCTTTTCTGTGCTATGCACGAATACTAAATTTGTAACATTTATTTGTAATTTAATATTTTTGTGTTAATCATTAAATCGGCATTGTGCTCCTGCACATTGCCATTATTTTATCCAGAACGGTGTCCTGTTATTGATCTTTTGCATGTAGTCCTTCGCACATAAAACGGAGCTCATCAGGCTGATAAATTGCCGCTAAAGTCTAGGTTATGCATTGCTTGCTACCGCGGAAGCGATAAATTCGAGATATTGCTGTTGAACTTGAGCAAAAATTGACTTTCAACATGGGACTATATTTGGATGTTTCTTTTGTAATTCAATCCATCAAGTTATCCATGCATAGGTACATTCCCAATTAATCTCCCAGTAACAAAAGATGTAAAAATGCTAATCACCCTCTTTTTGCAGGATACGTGACCAAATCCAGTAGTTCCAGAGGTATTGGAGTGGAATGACTTGGTGGTAGTTGATTACCCATTTGTGCACTGTTCTTGCCAAACCACAAGTCAGTAACGAAACCAAGCGTATTAGCTGGATCTAAATACAAACAAGAAATTTTCAAAAGTATTAATACATACCAACATATATACAGATTGCTGTGTTTAAACATAGAATTTAATTGGTATTTATAACGTGATGCTAAGGCTGTCGTGACAAAACTTTCGATCGATATAAACCACAATTTTATCAGTGCTATAGTAATATATGCCTGTATAAAAGTCATTATATATTATTAGCAAGGATCGTAAATTTTGCAATAATAAATATATTCGTCGGAAGAAGCACATTTCACCTGTTATCTCATACCTAGCGTATTAGCGGCTTTCCTATTGGCTACGAGGAGGTGCGTTCAATCTCGAACCCACCTGCTGACGTATGTTTAGGAGGGGGGTTCGAGATCGATGTTTTCAGCGGCGGTCATTATGAAGCGATTTGAACAAATTTCAGACGAAGATCTAAATAAATTAATTGTTTTTAATTGTTTTATAATTATTTTTTGTTGGTGAAAATGGAATATTCTGTATTCAAAGTGGAAGAGAAGAAAGATGGCCGCCGAAATTTGTTCGGCACGGGCAGGTTTATATAAATCTTGGCAATGTTTTCGCAAAATGTATGCATTTTCTCTTTTGAAGAATAAGGGAATATTGTACTGTAGATAATTTTTTTAGCTTCAATTTAAGCCTAAGTTTGTTTGTTTGCGAGTATGTTAATTGGGAGCTAAAATGTTCATTATCCAAACAAGAAATTACATACTAAAAGGCGTAAATTCTTCAGTACTTTTTACCGAAATGGCATGCGATAAAAACCAAACATACTTGCAGGTTCTATTCTCGCTGCAGACAATGCTCCAACGAAAGTCGTCGTCGGTTTTCTCTGGGTACTCCGCTTTCTTCCGACAGGGAATATTGAGAGGGTAGATTGGGATTAGCCCTTGACTGGTTATTTCACCGTCGCGCGCTGTGCTCTGTGATCAGACATGAGTCATAAAGCAGAGTTGTAGACTCGAGTCATGCATGCAGCGACTTAGACTCGAACAAAATGACTTGGACTTGCAAGAAATGACTTGTTACCAACGCAAGTCAAACGTACAGATATAAATGTCAAGTGAAAATTAACTTTTCTACAATTACTTGCATTAGAAATTCAGTGATGCACATGCAATGATTGCTTCAGCTAGATTTGCATTCATTAAAGTGCATATGACATGAAATTTCTTATTTTCTTGAATGAAAGAACTCTTTAAGCTGTAGTGTAACTTATTTTTCAGTTTCTTGTTTTTATGGTTTGCTCCTGAGATATTTCAATTTGTTTTATTATGTAAATGAGTGTGAACATGTCCGCTAATTTATGACGTCACTTTGGTTGCAAGCTCAACTTACACTGGTTATAAATCTATTAACTCTAAAAACTGTAGATTGATGTTCACGTTTTTCTCCAGCGTTTCATCACATTTACCATTGAGTGAAGTTTGAAATTATCATCTTGGATGATAGCAGTGATATTCAACTAAAGTTAAAGAGCTTGCAACCAAAGTGACGTCGTAAATTAGCAGACATATTCATACTTATTTACATATCAAACAAAACTGAAATATCTTGGGAACAAACCATAAAAACAAGAAACTGAAAAATAAGTTACTCTACAGCTTAAAGAGTTATTTTATTTAAAATAAAAAAATTAATGTCATATGCACTTTAACATATAATTGTCGTGGGTGACTCCCGGGGCTCAGATTCCAGCCGTTGGGTGAGCCTAGGGACTCCCTAGTTCATGGTAAAGCAACTGTACAGAATGACTTGTGACTGGACTTGTTACTCGGAATGAATGACTTGTGACTTAACTTGGACCAGATGACTTTTGACTTGGCTTAGACTTAAAACAAGACTGAGATTCCGTCTAAAATATTTGTAATGAAACCGGATACTTACAGGCATTCATAAGAAGAGCCGTGTGACTATCTGTGCGAGCCAGTGAACCAGGATGTTGACAATGCTTGAACACATTTCTATATCAAACATAATTAGTATATACGTTGCTGCTACACACGTGCAAGTTGTTACAGATATGTAAACAAGTTTTAACAAGTTTGTTGTCAAGCTGATATCCCGATGTAGAGAAAATGAAATTAGAGAAAATGGTTGACAAAAAGAACACCCTTTACTTACTCAAGATGGGAAATTAGGTTTGTTATAGCTCGTGGTTTTGGCAAGCTTACACTTTGTCCTTGAGCCTGAAAACAAAGAAAATATAGTTTAATCGCATGTCTTCATTTATAGATGAATAATACGCCATCCTGAATCAATATTCATTAATACATGAAATGTTTGCCATCCAAAACAATATACCAAATTGTAAATTGGTTCTTTCGCGTGACCTTGTGATATTCATCACAAACATTTGAGTCGGCATTTAAGTTAGGGATAGAATCAGAGTTAGGGATACGCTAAAAAAACCCAGGGTAAATGAATTGCGATTCTATTTGCGTTGAAGTTATAAGTTAGTGCGGGATTCGTCATTTTTGACGAAACGCACGCTGTATGCTTACGCGATCCTATAATGACGGGGAAAAGACGTAGCCTGCGAGGCCCAAGCAGAGCCTGCCTCGCAGGCTAATACATACATACCTTGGTTGAGATAACATTCCAAAGACAAGCAACAGCCATGGAAAACATAAACGAAGGATTGTTGACATCTGGTACAGGAAGTGGCTACACAAAAAGAGAGAAAACAGTGGTTATATAGGAGTGTTCGTGGAAGTGGTTAGCGCATGTTTCCGATTATAAGGCACTCATTACAAGGTTTACTCCTGTAATAGCAAACACTGTCGTATCCTTCAAAACGTATAATAAAAAATCGACCCGCATATATAATCCTAAATTTTGTTTGCATCTGAACAACATGAAATTTCTGAGGGCCTCTCGGTTTGAAACGCCAATTGAAAGTGATTGAAAGTGACATTTCTTCTTGAGAAGTATACAGACGCAAACCAGTTGACTCGATGGCAGAATAGGTAGAGCAAGAACTTCAGTCATTCGGCTTATATGAAAAGGGACACCAAGAAGGCGGAATTGATATCCAGTAGCTATGAATGCTGTAAGAAGTAAGTTTTAACACAGTTTTCCCACCTAATTGGACCGTATTGCTAAACAAGCTATCAGTTCATAAAACCAGAGTATTATTGGCACACTCCATGCAAACCACGCAGACAAAAACATAGCTTCACGTTTTAGAATCTAGTTCTCGCTCCAAATATAAATGGAGCTCAGAGCGTCAAGTCTGCTCGCTGAATATACGAATCCCACTTGTAGTCAGTTTTCATGTTGGCAACTTTATGCTGATCACCATAATCTCCGTAATGAAAAGGTTAGCATGTTTGAGGTACCTTGCTATAGAGGTTTATAAAATACCACACTGTCCGTATTATAGAGAACTGTCCGTATTACTGCAGTGTCAGCTAGAGAGTTGAGGGGTCCATGTTAATTAAAAAAGTTTCTGTATTAGAGAGGCCTCCTCAATAAAGAGATGGCTGTCGTATAGGGAGATGTCCGCATCAGAGAGATGTCCGTTGTCCGTATTAGGGAGATGTCCGCAATAGACCCATTGCACATGACGTCACAGCGCCGGTGACGATGCATCTGGAGGACAAATTAGCAATCTATGCATAACATAACTTTTGTAAGCAAAATAATTTTGTATTAAAATGGTTAATTTATGCGCTGTGTGTGGTTGTTGTACCCGAACAGATATTGTTAGGAAGCATCTGGAGGACACTCTAAGGATTTGTGACGTCAGTGCAATGGGTCTATAGAGAGGTGTCTCTAATGTTTATATCTGGGGGTCCCCTTTGTTATGAGCAGAACTGATGCGCAGAACGGAGTGGACATCATCTTTAAATTGAGATTTGTTTATTTTAAGTTGTGTTTTGAATCGTTTTAATTGATAAACGTTTACACTTGAACATTCACGATAAAGCAAGTTCAAAATCATTGATTACCTTCTCACAGTCCGTGTTAAAACATACTTGCATATTTCTTACTTACATTTATACTTTCATATTTCAATTCATTTTAACAAATTGGTAGTGACATTTGTTTTTTTGACAGGATGGCACAATTCAAATGGATCCTATAGTTTCCACGGAAAAAATTGGACTGCAATGGTAGACTTGCTCCAAGTCTCTCTTTGTGGACATCTATATATTGTACATCTATATTGTACGTTATTACAATACATCCGTATTGCAGAAACGTATCTGTAAGGGAGATGTCTGCATTGAAGACCTATCCGTATCAGAGAAACGTCCGCACACTGTGAGCAACTTTAAAGTGCCCATATATCACTTGTGGAACCTTCACGGATTTGAAAAGAGCGTAAAAATTTAGTTAATAAGTTCAAAAGCTTTTTTGATTTAGTGCAATAATTTCGAAGATGCATGCCTTTAAACTACCTACAGTTCCTGAGTCCCACGCTCTTATGCACAATGGACAGTTTCGAAAAAGGCCAAATTCAATAGCCGTGTTTAGACCCCAGGAGGCTGGGACTCAGGAACACTTCGTTGTTTAAAGGCCTTTTTCCTCAAAACTATTGCACTAAGTCAAAAAATAGGTACGCTGTAGCGTACATGGCGTCTGCTGGATCAAAAACAAAGAATGTCAATGCCGTCCAGTTTATATTTACATTTCCGACTTTGTAGTGGGAAAGATTAAAATATCTCGGCCCGTTGAAATCCTGATAAAATAACCTTTCGAACGGTGAGTCAAACGCCGTCATATTTCGTATATTTACTCACTGCTTGGCAGGGCTGCAAAATTACCACTAAAAAGGAATTAATTTCAATTACAATTACTTGCTTTAAAATGTAATAAATTCCTGATTACAATTACTTGTTCTAAAATTTAATTAAGTATAATGAAAAAATGACTCCGGAAAAAAGGAATTAATTACAAATTCCTTTACCGGCAAATTGTTACTATATAATATATTATAATACAATATCTTAAACAATAGTTGTAAATAAAACGGTATAAAATATGAAATTTGCAAGAATTTATCAAGATGATATTTCTATATATTAAAACATTTAACATGCAAATCGAAGCATGTAAACTTAAAACTTTATTTGCCAATACTTGGCGCTCTGGGCCTCGGAACAAATTGTGGTTCCACTTTCGCAATAAATAGTACTTCATGTAGGCTATCATGTCATGTGATCTCGTTGAAAATTATTTCAACCATTTTTCTGAAGTTTTGTCGTAACGTTGTATTTTTTATTTCTTATTTTTAACAGAATAAGAAAAGGAATTTTCAATTTGCTCCTTGGAAAAGGAACACGTTCCTTGCTTTTGTAATTAATTACGTTTTTCGTTACTTTCTAAAAACGTAATTAATTACACGTTAAAATTACTTCAAATGTAACGGGTACACAGTAACGCATTTACAGCCCTGCTGCTTGGCCAGACATTTTGTACTTCACATGGAGAAAAAATTGAATACCTTCTGAACTCTTCAGACTAAATCAATAGGAGTGAAATATCCCTTGTATTCAAGCGCTTTCGTGTAGAAAGTTTCGTTTGAATACGGCGGACTAGAAATATTTATTTTGAATTTTTCAGAATATCGGGTTGTTACTGGCACGCGCGTCCCATAGACCCGATGCACGTGAAAATCACGCTACATGAAAGGGTAATTTGACCTTTAGAATTTACGACGTTTCCCGAGTGCCAGGATGTAAACATCGCATTGTTTTATTATGTCAAGCTGTATTTCAGGTCGAGGCTCTCGCGTAAAATTTAGATTTTCTGAAATAACGAAATAAAAGTTGCAAATCTGTAGATACAAACTTGAAAATAACACTCTAAATAGTGTCTTCGATTGTGATTCGAACAAGAATATTACGAAAAAGATAGGTTGAAAGGGGCCAAAGCTATATTCGGCGAAAGGTATGGCTTAGTGATACATTATCGTAGTGATACATTATCGTACATTGTTTACATTGTTCGAATGTATTGATATATTATAGGTATGGTATGGCTAGTTTACATTGTTCGAGAATAGCTAGTTTTTATTTTATGACTATTTTACAGTTTTCGAGTATACAGGATTACAGTATTTTCAAGCGGAATTTTTGGTGATATTTTCGTATTTCTACTTCAAATACTCGCGGAGTTCTTTATAACATAAACGTCGGAAATCTCAAGGCCGGCCGGCATTGATAAAACCATTTATCGTAAACAGTTCGGAAACTTTCGTAGATGCGCGGGCTTTAGCCTAATCAAAGAGCCTGTTCGCAGAAGTGAACCGTCCACTCTATATATATATAAGGATATAACCATATAACTAAACCTCTTGCGGACAGCATATGGCGACTACTGTCCCAGTAGACGCCAAAAAGCTTTAGAACTTATTGACGAACTTTTTAAGCTCTTTCCAAATCCATAAAATTCCCACAAGTGATATAGGCACTTAAATAGAATAGATGTAATCTTTAATATCATTAGAATAACAATAACTCATTATATATGTTAGTCAACGTTTATTCATAAATCTGGTCCTTCACCGTCACGTGTGTATTGTATTTTTGCCAAATCCACCAATAGCATTTTCCAATTTACCCTATCGTTCGAGTCATGGATAGGTAACTTTCTTAAGACATTGCTATTCGTTAGTTGGGCAAAAATACAAAACGCACGTGACGGTGAACGACTAGATTTATGAATAGATAATGAGTCAAATTGTTATTCTAATGAGTTTCCAAACCACACAGACGCCAGAATGGAAACAATCATTACAGGAACCGAATTAAAAATCTTACCTTGGTGTCTGGATAAAGGAATTCGATAATTTTCATTAGGGGAACAAAATCTTTGAACTACAAAATGAAAATATCGAAATCACTAGAAACGAGTGTACACATATTTATCTGACAGCTTAGCAACAATTTGCCAATGATGGGCTATTTTATAAATTTGAAATATTTGATGGCCAATAATATTATTCATTATTATTCGAGAACAATCTTAGGTGCAACAAAAATTACATGAGCAATCAAGGCTAAACAAGAAAAAAAAATTTCAAACGCGACAAACAACAAATTAAATGATAAGATTGCGTAAATGAACGACAACAAAAATTTTCGTACAGTTATTACACTTTTGCTAAAGACATGCTGTACCAGTAAAGGTTAAAAATGCACTGATGTCGTTGCTCTAATACATCCTGAATGGTAGTCAGTCAATATATCAAGATATGCAAGATCTTTTCATTTTATTTGTGACACTCGACACAACAACGAAGAATATATCAGTCTCAGGATGCGAGCTCATATCCCGCATGAAACAATGAATTCAGTGCAAGAAGAAAAGCGTTTTGATCTCTCAATACTGTAACATTTTAGATTGAACATCATTCACCTCCCATTGGGTATTTGCTGCACCACAAAGTTGTAGAATGAACCACATCAAGTAATCACGCCCTTTGTACCATCTTACTTCTTCAATCTAGAGGTGTTGCAGAATTTGTGGTGAGATTTGATATGCAAGAATACATACAGTAAAATGCGGAACATTAAGTACTATTTGGAGCACAAATAGGAGTGTTTTATTAGATATAAAACGCGAGGCGCAGTCGAGCGTTTTATGTCTGATAAAATACGACAACGAGTGCTTAAAATACGAGAGCCCAAAATACGAGTACAAACGAATACTAATTAGGATGAACAATTATATAAGAATAGTAATTAGAATGAACAATTATATGGAGGTGCGCGTGCGCGCCGTCATGGCGTTCAGTCTGGGATTTTTGTGCTCCCGCAATTCATTAATAGTTTTGTATATTTATTTGATTTTAAATGGTTCAATACTCAAAAAGCAAAGGGAAAATGTCTATCTTGTACCAGTTCAATTCTATACGTGTCAGAATTACTCGCTTGCTCAAGACCCATCTATAATGGAAACATCCGAAGAAAAACCATTAATTTACGTAAACCGTTAGGAAACTCGATGTGCTTTCTTCTTGGATCAAGATTGTTTATAAACACTTTTATTGCTATCATTCTTCTACGATTATCTGGTGATATTGAAAGTAATCCTGGTCCTGTGTTTGAAATCCTTAGTTGTTTAAAAAGGGGACTCAAAGTAAGTCATCTTATGTACGAATCAGTAAGAATCCATTTATCAGTAAGAATCCATTTGATGTCTAAAGTCTGAAACTTGGCTTAAACCTTCCATGACTAATGCTGAAATCAACATACCTAACTATCTAATCACGCGTCAAGATCGGAAAGATAAAGCTGGTGGTGGGACAGCTATTTATGTTAGGGAAGGTTTACCTTATCGAACTCGAAACGACTTATGCAGTGAATCTATCGAAACAGGTTGGATTAAAATTAAACGACCTCGTACGAAATCAATGTTTGTTTGTTCAGCCTATAAACCACCTGAATTTCCACTAAATCATTTTATTGGGAGTTAAATCAAAATCTTGCCAAAATTGCAGATAACGCAGAAATTATATTGTTGGGTGATTTCAATGTCGACTACAAACAACGCTCAACCACAGAGTAGAGACGTAACTGACCGTTGTAAACACTGCGGAAGATTACGTTATCATGTACCCACTTTTTTTCAGGCGACCGGGCGAAAATGATCAACTGCGCGTACTCAGCAAGTTTAAAGTGAGTCGTCATCAGGTCATCATCCAATCAGATGCATGCATCTAGTAACTTGCCGAACATGCGCACAAAAAAGTGGGTACACTAGTTACGTCTCTGTATGTCTCTACTCTGTGGCTCAACGGTCAGATCACGCATGCAAATACTACCGCGTGCTCATTCACTCGAATAGATCATTGCGTCACCAACAAGGATCACTAAAAACACACAATCAATGATAGATTTAATATTCGTAAACAATCAGCCACGTGTTGTTTCAAGCGGAATTTACCCGTTATCGATCAGCGATCATTCACTTTTTTATTGCTCGATTCAAGCAGGAGTCCAAAAATCAGGCGGATGTCATCGAGACATTAATTATCGTTGTCATAAGCATTACGACAAAAGAACTTTTGTTGATGATTTAGAAAAATCTGATTGGACTTTCGTGGATTCGTTAGACGACATTAATAAAATCGTAAATAAATGGTGCGACACATTTCCTGAATCTGCCAATAAACATGCCCCAATTAAAACCAAAATTAGAGTAAAAACGACTGTGAAAGCGCCATGGATGACTTCTGAACTTCTTGAACTTATGCGAGAACGTGGTTTCCATTTAAAACATGCCCAAAAATCTAACTCCAACTACCACTGGAACACCTACCGCGAAATCAGAAATTTCATAAATCAACAAGTTAAGATATGCAAATCCAACTACAACCAAAATCTCATCAATAGTAATAAAGATAATCCTGGCGAACTTTGGAAAACCATCAATGAAATTACTTCCCGCAATCCAACTAAAACTACTCCTTCGTGCATTGTTTCTGAAAACATCCAAGTGAACGAACCACGATCTATAGTGACAATCATGAACGACTATTTCACGTCTATAGGGTCTAAACTCGCGAATAAAATTAAAGATCAATTCAAACCAAAGTTACGTGCGTCTACCACTACCGTTCCCCATTCATTCCAGTTCGAAGAAGTCGACGAATTTATTGTGTTTCAGGAACTGAGCAAATTAAAAACTAACAAGGCTACTGGCATAGATGGGATTAGTGCTAAACTGCTTAAAGACCCCGTTTGCGTTATTGCACCAACTCTCACAAAAATCTTTAATCTCTCGCTACGCTGTGATTCATTCCCCGATATTTGGGAGAAAAGTTACCCCCATTTACAAATCTGGCGATCCAACGTCATCGAACAACTATAGACCCATCACCATTTTACCAACTTTGAGCAAATGATTAGAACGTATAGTCCACCGTCAAATTTACAATTATCTACAAGAGCAATAGATATTGGCTTCTGAACGAATCGGTTTTCGCTCCAAGTTACTCTCCACCACTGTTGCCCTGGCTCACTTTACTGAACAAATACTCGTTAACCTCGACAACAAAAAGATTACGGGCGCCGTTTCCATTGACCTGCGAAAAGCATTCGACACGGTAGATCACACAATCTTGCAGGAAAAATTAAAATCGATTGGATTCTCTACCTCTGGTCTTGAATGGTTTACATCACATTACAACAATGCAATGTCTCCGCCTAAACCAGTTACTGTTGGTGTTCCACAGGGAAGTATTCTCGGACCTCTTCTCTTTTTAATTTACATTAATGACCTACCTGAATGCCTCAAACACTGCAAGTCGATACTCTATGCTGATGATACACTTCTATACTGTTCTGCAGACAATATCTCAGAGCTTCAGTCAAAACTCAACTCCGATCTTCAATCCCTCTCCACTTACCTGAACTACAACCTCCTAACACTCAATCATGACAAGACGAAATTTATAATCTTTGCTGGTAAACAACGTTTAAAAACAATCTCTAACATCGACATCACTATATCTACGATCAAAAGAGCATTCTGCGATCGAAAGAGCATTCTACGATCGAAAGAGCATCATGCATTGGAATACTTGGGTATCACGATCAGTGAAAATCTCTCTTGGAATGAATTTATCGAGAACTTGATGAGCAAGATCAATCAAAGACTTAGAATATTGCGCCGAGTCAAACCATTACTACCATTCAATGCAAGATTAGCTTTCTATACCGCTACAATTCTACCGTTATTTGACTATGCAGACATTACTTGGACTGGACTGTGGAAAATATTTCTCTAAACCGTTCAATTTAAATCGACACAAACAAAAAGTGCATGATCAAAAACCGACCGACAACATTCGCATGACGACTAATGGATCTGCAGTTTTGCAGCATCCTTTTACGTGTATCGTAGCCGGGTGTACACAAAGCGGCAAGACGGTATGGGTGAAATCTCTCCTGGAGAACGCACAGAAAACTATAAGTCCACCTCCCCAACGTATCATCTGGTGTTATGGTCAATGGCAACCATCATATTTTGATATGTTGGGGACGATGCCTGGGATCGAGTTCAATAAAGGCATTCCCGACGATATCGACAACGGAGATTACTTGGATGTATCGCAACGGAATTTGATCGTGTTGGATGATCTTATGGCACAATATAGTAAAGACAAACGTATAGCTGATCTTTTTACAAAAGGAAGTCATCATCGGGATTTATCTATCATCTATATTGTTCAAAATATATTCCATCAAGGCAAAGAAATGAGAAATATCAGTCTAAACGCCCATTATATTGTGCTGTTCAAGTCACCAAGAGATAAACAGCAAATTTCTATGCTTGCAAGGCAAGTAGATCCTGGAAGAGTACAAGAATTTATGAGGAGTTATGAAGATGCTACGAGCCGCCCTCACGGGTATTTGATGTTGGATTTAAAACCAACAACGAGTGATGAAGATCGACTTAAGACAAACGTACTTCCCGGCGAGATTGCAAGGTTTATAAAAAAACAATCGTATCGACAACATCCGCTTCTAAATGCCATGTATGATGCTGAGCAGAGAATGAAAGAAATCATGGATGCACCACAACTTAGCGCAGTGGAAAAAAGCAAATTATATTCTGATCAACTAAACCGATTTCTCATATTCAAAGATAAGATGGCACATTCTTCTCCAGGATTTCCTGCTCAAAGTATCCCACAAGCGCCTACAGAGATGCCACAAGAAATACCACCGCAAGTGCCTCCTATTCCTGTATCAGCGGAAATACCACCACAAGTGCCTGCTATTCCTGAACCTAATTTCCTTACACCACCACCAACAGAAGAGGAACGACCAAAACTCAAGCGCAACTTTTTCCACAATTGGGTCGACCCAGCAGATTGGACCGAACGTGACCTAGCACGAATGACTCCGGAAGCAAGAGAGGATTATGAACGTTTTATATTGAGCGACCGACCAAAATATATTCCAATGAAGCCGGAAAAACTTGCAAAGTTATCCCCAGAAGATAGACAAGAATATGAGAACTCTTTAAAAATAACAAAAACACCTAGACGTTACGCTCTTAGAAGTAGACCGTACTAAATTTTGTAAAACGTTTTGAAGAAATAAATGTGTTTTAAATCTAAATTTTTGCCTGCAAACCCTTGCGCCCGATTTTAAGGCACACACCTGCGTTGTAAATATATCTGCTAAACGCGACTTATCTCTTTCGAGATGGGTATAACTCTGCTATACATTTCGATAAAAATTTCGCCATGTGAGGGACTCGAACCCCCTTATTTTGGGACAAACCCCAATGCCATACAATTCGGCCACCGAGGCATTACAGTTTCCTTGACATAAAAATCAAATAAACTATGCTTACACCAAACACGTAATTATATCCCTATCTATCCATTGGGATACACTTAGCTATGCAAATTTTTTGTTCGCCTAATCCCTTAATTATCTACACGCCACCTAATGATTTAACAACACATAACAACGCAACATTTTCAAAGTTTAAAACATGTTTATTGATACAAATAACAGACAAAAATATTACAACTAAGACTGTTTGTTAAACTGTTCTACAAGTTTTTTCTCCAGGAATCCTTGATAAGCAATTTTATGATCGGCCTCAAAACTTTTAAATCGTTCACCCGTCGCCTTCACAGAATACATGTAACTCGGTGGGCAAGAGAAAAACGCTTCAGCTGCTGACTCGAGCGGATCTTCTAATCTCCAATGAAACAAATAGTTCAGTATACATTGTAGTTCGTGGTTCTCAGTGTTCTGATGTAGTTCCATCAATGAGTCGACAAACGTAGAATCTGGATCTTTTTCCATTTGCTGTAAATGTTCGAGTACATCTCTCTCAACCCTCAGTTTAAGTACTCTCATTCTCTCAGCGAATTCACACCAAACCATACGCTTAGCATTCACTCGTTCGATCGCTTGTA